GAAATGTTTGCTTTTCTAAATCTTGGGAAGCAAACTTACCGTTTCTGTTAGTAATGGCAGGAAATGATTTGAAAGCTTGCATTCCGTTCCAGGCACCCTAGCTCCGCGTTGACAAGTTGCGAAAGATTCAGAGGTGAGCTGAGAAAACAAATGGCACCAAAGTCCCCAGTCACTCTCTTTTCTAGACTTCTGTTCCCCGAAAGCTCAACATGTGGTTTATGTAATAAAAGAGCAGACAACTATATAAAACCACATTTTTAAAAAACAAAAAACACAACCCTGACAGTGACGCGGGTTGAACCACAGAGCCTAGGACTTGCCGATCCGAAGGTTGCCGGTTTGAATCCCCGTGATGGGGTGAACTCCCGTTGTTCGGTCCCTGCTTCTGCCAACCTAGCAGTTCGAAAGTACGTCAAAGTGCAAGTAGATAAATAGGTACCGCTCCAGCAGGAAGGTAAACAGCGTTCCCATGTGCTGCTCTGGTTCGCCAGAAGCGGCTTAGTCCTGCTGGCCACATGACCCGGAAGCTGTACGCCGGCTCCCTCGGCCAATAAAGCGAGATGAGCGCCGCAACCCCAGAGTCGGTCACAACTGGACCTAGTGGTCAGGGGTCCCTTTACCCCTTACCTTTAACAGTACCTTGATGGACCACAGAATGCTGGCTGATCATTGCTGGGAGCTAGAAATTGTGGGGGGAATGGAATAGAGTATCCTGGGAAGGGCACCACTGGCTGGCTGGCTGGCTGGCTGGCTGCCACCCAAGTAGCTCTCCCAAGTGCAACATTTTGTTGCAGGTCCCGTTGGCAAGGCCTAGTTTTCCTCCACTTCTGTAAACTCACAAGTGGTTGGGTTTTAATCTCTCCCTTGGGAAGGGCATACCACAGTGGCAAAGTATTTATTTAGACAGACAGACAGACATACCCTGCCCATCTGGCTGGGTTTCCCCAGCCACTCTGAGCGGCCCCCAACAGAATATTAAAAACATGATAAAACACCACACATTAAAAGCTTCCCTATACAGGGTTGCCTTCAGATGCCTTCTAAAAGTCATGTAGTTCTTGATCTCCTTGACATCTGATGGGAGGGCGTTCCACAGGGCAGGTGCCACTACCGAGAAGGCCCTCTGCCCAGTTCCCTGTAGCTTCCCTTCCCGCAGTGAATAACAATAAATTCAGAATTCAGAAATCAATTTAGGGGGGAAATCCATCCAATAAACATTAGATGATCACCAGGGCTAGCTGGCTAAATTAGTCCTATTAGGGCCAGCGAGGAGACCAGGGGAGAATTAGCTGTGGGATCCCAGAGCGGGTAATCTTCATAAAAAGGGGAGAAAGGGGGAAGGAAGGGGAATAAAAGATCAGGCTGAATTCAAATTAAAGGCCAGGCGGAATAGCTCTGTCTTACAGGCCCTGCGGAAGGAAGTTAAATCCTGAAGGGCCCTGGTCTCATGGGACAGAGCATTCCACCAGTTTGGAGCCATCCCTGAGAAGGCCCTGGCCCTGGTGGAGGAGAATCTGACTTCCTTAGGGCCCGGGACTCAATCTTACTAGGTGCAGGTCTCATGTGGAACTGGGCAAACCGAGTGCCCAACCCACACTCAGTTGCACCAGTGACTTACCACAGTTCCTGAATTACTGCTTGCTGACACCCCCAACATAGAATCAAAGAACTGTAGAGTTGGAAGGGACCCTGGGGTCACCTAGTCCAACCCACTGCAATGCAGGAATCTCAGCTCAAGCATCCCTGACAGATGCCCATCCAACCTCTGCTTAGAAATCTCCCAAGGACAGAGAGCCCACCCAAGGGAGACCATCTGTTCCACCATGCTCAGAAGGGGGGCGTTTTGCCTTTCTCCAGTGAGAGTAGGAGTTCTTTGTCACTCTTGAGGGTGCAGTTCCATTTTCTGGGTTCGTGCTGGAAAGGAGGGAATTTGCAGCCGTTCTGTATCCTGGCGGAGAAACGGCGCTGACCTTTTGCTGCCGGTTGCGGCTGAGGGGGAGGGAAGTGGCGGTGATATGACACACATGTGCGCGAGACCGGCACTCGAGGGCTGAGCCATCAGTCATGCAGATAAAAGGCTTCGCTTTCCCCTCAAGCAGCTGTCCAAGGCCGCAGAAGTGGCTGTCGAGGGCCCTCCAAGTGGCAATTATCAGCTCTGGGCCCAGGAGTCCTGGGCTTGAGAGCGCTGAGCTTTCTGGCTAAGAGGCTCTCATTAAGGGGCACCTCGCCACTGAGGCCGGATTCAGGCTCACTTAAGAGGCACTTCAGCCCCACCAAAGAGAATCCCACGGCCCTGTAGGTCGTGGCGCAATGGAGCGGATTCTCCTCGCGATGAGATCAAGCACCAAGCGGGTGAACTCTCCTTGCAAAGTCAGCAGCAGGAGTCAGGAGGAACCCTGGAAGGTCCGTCGCACCAGCTCCGACTTGCTGCAGGCTCCCTCAGAAGGTGGCAGAGGACAAAATTTGGCACCTGCCACTAAATAGTTCCTATTTCCATGCCCTCCTCCCTCTCGTCTTCCACTCTGCGCATGCTCTCAAGTGCGCTGCGTTCTAGTCGTGGCATCTTTTGCGCCTCCTCGGCTTGGTACCCTTTGCAGGAGAACTGCTCAGGCCACTCTAAATCTGACACTGCCTTCATTGGAGGTTTTGGAGCAGAGTTTGGATGGCTGTCTGCCTGGGATTCTTTAGTTGCGATTCCTGGGCCAGATGACTCTCTGTTTCCTCTCAACTCTACAATTCTCTCATACCTCCCCTGGTATGCCCCGCGGAGCACCTTAAGGTCCACAAATGACAACATTTTGGAGGTCGCAAGGTGGTTAGTTGGTCTCAACTAGGGCCAGGGCCTTTTCAGTACTGGCCCCATCTTGGTGGAATGCTCTGGCACAAGAGACCAGGGCCCTGCGGGACTTGACATCTTTCCACAGGGCCTGCAAGACAGAGCTTTTCCGCTTGGCCTTTGATTTGGACTCAGTCTGACCCTTATGTTTCCCTCCCCTTATGTTTTTGATCGATGAGCTACTTTTAAAATGAGGTTGCATTTTAAATTGCATTTTAACCTGTATTTTAAATTGGTCCCCCCTGCCTGGGACCTACCTATACTGAATCTTCCGACTTCATAGGATTTCTGTGAATTATGAGAGAGAGGGAGAAAACCTCTCTATTTACTTTCTCCATGCCGTGCGCAAATTTATGAACCTCTTCATGTTGCCTCTTACTTGCCTTGTCTCTAAACAAAAAAGTCCACCGGCAGCACATCTCTTCTTTCTCGTATCCAAAAATGCAAGAAGGGCTTTTACACTCGCCAGAAGCTCAGCTCTGCCCTCGCCGGTCCTGGAAGGATCCTTTAAAAAAGTCGCATATGCTCAGCAACTTTGCACCTGTTCATTGGGGGAGATAGGAAGCCCAGAGCACTTGTTCTTTAGATGTCCCTTTTATGAAGAGGCACGGCGTGAGACCATTGATCCCCTGTTGGTGAGGCTCGCTGACCTCCCAGAAAAGCAAAAATTTGACCTTTTCCTCTTAGGCAAAGATCATAAGATGACCCAGATGGCCGCCAGATTCAGTGTACAGATCTGTAGGTGCAGACCATACCCCGATTCAAACTAGTTCGTGAAGAAAATCCCCAAACTCGGTTCCATGGGTGACTCTGGGTCATATCTATGCGGTAGGTTATCTGAAAGTTGTAAGCGTCTAGATGTGGGTGGCGCTGTGGGTTAAACCACAGAGCCTAGGACTTGCCGATCAGAAGGTCGGCGGTTCAAATCCCTACGACGGGGTGAGCTCCCGTTGCTCGGTCCCTGCTCCTGCCAACCTAGCAGTTCGAAAGTACGTCAAAGTGCAAGTAGATAAATAGGTACCGCTCCGGTGGGAAGGTAAACGGCGTTTCCGTGTGCTGCTCTGGTTCACCAGAAGCGACTTAGTCATGCTGGCCACATGACCTGGAAGCTGTACACTGGCTCCCTCGGCCAATAAAGTGAGATGAGCGCCGCAACCCCGGAGTCGGCCACGACTGGACCTAATGGTCAGGGTCCCTTTACCCTTTACTGCAATCTTTCAGGACATTGGATCTGGCCATGAGCTCCATATAAAGCCTTTGAAGAGGCTACTCAGCATCCTGAATTGTGCTCTGAAGGCTTTGGGGATGCAGTCCTAGCCTTGCTCTTGCACCCGGGCTTGCGGGCTTCGCTTTGGGGCATCCGCTTGGCTGTTCTTTAGAATAGGACGCTGGACCAGTTGGAGTCTGATCCTGCCAGCTCTTCTTATATTCATCCAAACCCCGAAAGGGTTTTGTGGATGCGGGAATAAAGTTCACTGTAATCCAATCACAGCTTGGCCGCCGAATTCCCCTTACACAAAAGTAAAGGAGGACTTCAAAGAAAACGAAACCATCCAATTTGCTCTGCTGGCTTGGGTTTTTGCTGAGCTGAGCTTTCTCTGGGATGAAGCGAGGAGCTCTTTGCCCAGGCTGATCGCATCCAGCAAAGCCAAAATTGTAAGTGGTTTCCCCGGCCTTTTCTCTCTCTCTTTTACTCTGGAACAGAACGAGCTCCGGAAACCAACCTGCCTGGCTTTTATTGGACACGCAGCAATTTCCAAAGTAAGATTTGCTACTTTTGCAGAGCCCTGGACTGGACAAAGCATTAGGAAGCAAGGCAAGCTCTTGCAGAGGCCGCCGTGGGGAGCTTTGACAGAAGTTTCCCACCTTTTTTGTATTTCTGGGACTCTCTGAAAAAAATCTTTCCCCCCCACCAAAACCACAGTTCTCTGCACAGAATTGCTTGACTGACCTCTGGCCGCCTTTGAGGAGTCCGTTTTGTCTCATGAAATCCTCCTGACTGAGGCTGGCCAGAGGCGAAAATTATTATTATTTATTTTTATTTCATTTCTATACCGCTTTATATTTTTCTTAGAAATATTCTGAGATGGGCCATTGGGGAAATTGCCCTGGGAATGAGGGTCTCCAGAGCAATGTGATGATCTCTCCAGGGAATGGTAGTGAAGCCCTTTTAGTTATTCAGTGGGTTAGAATGTGGTGTTGATAATGCCAAGGCTGCAGGTTCGATCCCCGTATGGGGTTGAGTGAGATGATCCTTTGAGTCTCTTGGTTTCTATGATTTCCAAATAGGTTTGCCGCACAACTCGGTCCATAGGGTGCAGGAAGCAGCAGGGGTTTAAAGTAAAGGTATGTTGCTGCCATACCCCTTAATGTAGTTGTCAACTCACCCCTCACCCCTGGAAAAAAAAAGCAATTATTAATGAGGAGATCCTTGTCTCCATTGCCTGGGCTAAAAGAGTTCATTTTATTCATTTCATAGAATTTATACATGACTTGATTGTAAAATCATCATCATCATCCCCTCAAAGTAGTTTACAAAAAAAGATAAAATCATCACTAAGAAAACTCAACAACAAAAATTCAAGACTTTCCAAAAGTTAAAACGACATTAGATTAAATTTTGCACCCGCTTTCTAAACCTCCGGACAGACTTGTTTAAACAAGAATGTTTTTAGCAGTAGCTGAAAAGGGGACAGTGAAGGCGCCTTCCTGTTTTCACTAGGCAGGGAGTTCCAAAGTTTTAGGTGCTATCACATTGAAATATAAAATTCTCGCGAAGAAGAAGAAGAAGAAGAAGAAGAAGAAGAAGAAGAAGAAGAATTTATTTTTTATAACCCGCCCATCTGGCTGGGCTTCCCCAGCCACTCTGGACGGCTTTCAACAGAATATTAAAATACAATAATCTATTAAACATTAAAAGCTTCCCTAAACAGGGCTGCCTTCAGATGTCTTCTAGAAGTCTGGTAATTATTTTTCTCTTTGACATCTGATGGGAGGGCGTTCCACAGGGTGGGTGCCACCACCGAGAAGGCCCTCTGCCTGGTTCCCTGTAGCTTGGCTTCTCGCAGTGAGGGAACCGCCAGAAGGCCCTTGGCACTGGACCTCAGTGTCTGGATAGAATAATGGGGATGGAGATGCTCTTTCAGGTATACTGGACCGAGGTGGTTTAGGGCTTTAATGGTCAGCACCAATGTGGAACGGGTCTTGTGACAGCGGCAGTTCTGCAGATGAAAGAGGTTGAGAAATGTGTTTGCTAACTCGTGCCCACCTCTCGGACCCTGTCCCAACTGGTGGGTTTCTTTTCTTGTAGGTGTCTACTGCACAGTGCTTTTTTGCTGGGGGGGTGGGTACGCAGTACCAGAACCATTTTTTCCTAGAAGAAAAGCACTGGTTAAAAGCATGGCCCTTACTGTAACAACTTCATGGTGAGTCCCGGCACCTCCCATGGTCCAGCTCAGTGTTTTGGCCTCTGACCAGCCTCAGAAGACTATAGGGAGAAGGGGCTTCTTTTCTTCTAAGTAGATTTTGGGTGCCTGCTGGGTGCCCAGGAAGGAGCAGCTGACTTACGCATGCTCTGCACCTGCCATCTGTCTTGAGGTCTAGCAGCTTGGGCTGTGACCCAGCCCCTTTAAATCCTTTTGCTGCAGTTGAACGAGATGATGTGTGATTCCCAAGTGGTCCCCACACCTCGCTTGAATTCACAGCAGCAACAGCCTGTGTGGAAATGTGTCAGACGCTCCGAGACAACTCCGTTTGCTCCGAGACTTGCAACTTGAGAGATTTCACATCCCGTAACCCCCCAACTCTACTGCTGAAGCAAAACAGGTTTCTTGAGAACTCACAGTCTCAGGCTCCGCAGAAGACAGAGGAAGTTATCTCTCTCTCTTTTGGAGGGGAAGGGGTGCTGATACGTGATTTATTTCCTCTCTGGGAAGCCGAAATCCCTCACAGGAAGCTTTGTCTGTTTTCCGCAATGGTGACATTTTGCCCCTTCCACCTTCTCACCGTTTGCTCAGCACATTTCCTCCCAGCCTGCTTCTCAGAAAGAGTCCTAGAACAATGCTTAATATTATTACAGAAGCAGGTAATTTAAGATCACATCTGCTTGCAATCTGGGCGCAGGGAAGGGGCGCTGTGCCTCCGCGGCAACGGGCTTGCTCAAAGACTTGGAGGTGGCAGCAAGACTCTCCTTAAGAAGAGACGGCAATTATCATAGAATTGTAGACTTGAATGGGACCCAGGGGTCATCTAGTCCAACCCCCTGCAATGCAGGAATCTCAGGACAGAGGGCCACCCAACCTCTGCTTAAAAACCACCCTTCTGAGGGTGTCTGTTCCACTGTTGAACAGCTCCTACCATCAGAGGTAAAGGACCCCTGGCCAGTTAAGTCCAGTCAGCTAGGTTGGCAGGAGCTGGGACAGAGCAATGGGAGACACCATTGATCCATTGCCAAAGAGGCTGTCCGATCTTTCAGACAAGTCTAAACTTAATTCTCTCCTCTTAGGCAAAAATCACAAGACGACCTGGCTGGTATCCAGATTCTGCGCCCAGATTTGTAGGCACAGATCATCCTCTAGAATAAAATAACTTACTAGGGAAATGCTAAAAGGGACGCGGGTGGCACTGTGAGTTAAACCACAGAGCCTAGGACTTGCCGATCAGAAGGTCAGCAGCTCGAATCCCAGCGACGGGGTGAGCTCCCGTTGCTCGGTCCCTGCTCCTGCCAACCTAGCAGTTTGAAAGCACATCAAATAGGTACCGCTCTGGCGGGAAGGTAAACGGCATTTCCGTGCGCTGCTCTGGTTCGCCAGAAGTGGCTTAGTCCTGCTGGCCACATGACCTGGAAGCTGTACGCCGGCTCCCTCGGCCAATAAAGCGAAATGAGCGCTGCAACCCCAGAGTCGGTCACGACTGGACCTAATGGCCAGGGGTCCCTTTACCTTTACCTTAGGGAAATGCTGAAGTTGTCCTTTGGGGTGCCTCAGGGTCAATTTTTATGGTAGCCCAAATCTCAGTTGTACGGGTGTATGTATATATCTCAATTTTAATTCATGAGCTATTACTGCAATCTGCTCTGATTGTATATTTTATCTTTATGAAAGCTGTTTTTATTGTGTTATGCGAGCTGGTCTTTGGCTGTAATAAATTATCTATCTATCTACCCCTGGACAGTTAAGTCCAGTCGGCTAGGTTGGCAGGAGCTGGGACCGAGCAACGGGAGCTCACCCCATCGTGCCGATTCAAACTGCCGACCTTTCGATCGGCAAGTCCAAGAGGCTCAGTGGTTTAGACCACAGCACCGCCTGCTCCCCTGAGCCAGCCTTTCAGACTATGGTGTTCAATTTCAATGCTCTCCAAAATTGCACCCAACTTCGGAGGCGGTAGTCAAGTTCACTTATGCAACTAGTGGAATAATGATGGTTGCCTTATTTGTATAGCAGCACCCCGGGGGATGAACTCAGGAGTTTGCGAGACTTGTGTTTCTGGCTGGGGAGAAGAATTGTAGGGAGACCTGGCAGGCAAGGAGGCAAATCTTGTATGCACAGTCGCTACCTGGAAATTTTGCGTGTGGGGAGAGAGGCTGGGAGAACTAACTGGGAGCCAATGTGCGAAACAGCCTAAGCCTAAATGTGGATGGTGCAGTATCTTCAAAATGTAGTTTTGAGAGTAAACTAAATTGCCCTCTAATAAAATCAGGCCACATTTTTTGTCCCAGAGCTTTTGCACCCGTTGCATCAGAGTGATAGAAGGGCAGGACACAATTATGCTATGCTGAGCAACCAAGCAGAGAACTGTCTTTTATCTCCAAGAGGCAAAGAGTAGGAAAGGGGCCTGGAGCATCCTAGTTGGCCACTGAGAGAACAGGACATGGGACTAGCCAGGTCTTAGGCTGGACCCAGATTCAGGGCTCTCCTTAAGTTCCTTTCCAACCTCATGAGTGATACCGTAGGGTTGAGAATTATAGGGCTGGAAGGGACCCTTTGGGCATAGCTGTCAACTTTTCCCTTTTCTTGCGAGGAATCCTATTCGGAATAAGGGAATTTCACTTTAAAAAGGGAAATGTTGACAGCTACGCCTTTGGAGTCATCTAAGCCAATGTCAGGCTTCCTTCTCACTTTGACTGTAGATAGGTAAAAAGGTAAAGGACCCCTGGACGGTCTAGTCTAGTCAAAGGCAACTATGGGGTTGTGGCACTCATCTCGCTTTTAGGCTGAGGGAGCCGGTGTTTGTCCACAGACAGCTTTCCTGGTCATGTGGCCAGCAGGACTAAACCGCTTCTGGCGCAACAGAACACCATGACAGAAACCAGAGCAGTGCACGGAAACGCCGTTTACCTTCCCGCCGGAGCGGTACCTATTTATCTACTTGCGCAGGTGTGCTTTCGAACTGCTAGGTTGGCAGGCGCTGGGACAGAGCAATGGGAGCTCACCCCGTCGCTGGGATTTGAACCACTGACCTTCCGATCAGCAAGCCCAAGAGGCTCAGTGGTTTAGACCACAGCACCACCCGCGTCCCTATTACCTTTTAGCTTCCATAGATAAGTGATGCAAAATGAAGCAGTCTCTTACCAGCAACAGAGATGCTTAATGAATGCAGCAAAAGAACAAACGACCATTCTCACAGTGCAGGTGCTCCCATTTAAGTTCTTCCCACTTCCCTCTAGTCACTTCCATCTTCCCATCTCCTACTTACCCGATCTCTCAACCAATAACCGTTCTGCGAAGTTGCCTTATCCCGTCTCCTAGCCCCGGGACTAAGAGGCTGTATTCCTTCCAGTGAGGGAGATTCGGTTAACTCTCTCTCCTCCAGTTCTGCCTCTTCTGGTTTTTCACCTCCCAGTTCTGCCCAACTCCCATCCTCCGAACTGTGCCCCTCAGCAAACCATCGTTCCAGGTCAATACTACTCTCCTGCTCCTGTGGAGCCCCAGGATCCTGGTTCCACCACTCCTCACCAGAGAAGTGCTCCCCGGCCTGATCCCTGACAGCCAACCACCTGCAAGGCAGGAATCAGAATCCCTGAAAGAGGGCTATCCACATCCAAACACAGGGTGTATTTTTGGGGTAGCTTTTGCTGGTTTTACGACCTGTGCAGGAGCAGTAATGATTGCACAAACCAGTGGATCATGTAACCGTGTGGTCTTTCTGGAAGGATCAGGGCTCGCTACTTTTTGAGAAGGGGTTAGATATGCCTTCTGGGCCTCTCGGTTTCCCATCCACATTTCCATTCCCTTCGTTGCCGA